TACTGAAGGACATCTTGGTTGCTTCCAGATTTTGGCAATTATGAATAAAGCTGTTATAAACATCTGTGTACAGGTTTTTGTGCAGTCATCAATTTTCAACTCCTTGGGATAAAGACCAAGGAGTATGATTGCTGGATCATATGGTAAGAGTATGTTTAGTTTTTTAAAAAAGCACCAAACTGTCTTCCAAAGTGGCTGTACCATTTTTGCATTCGCACCAACAATGTATGAGACTCCCCGTTGTTCCACATCCTCTCTAGCATCTCCTGTTGTCAATATGATCCTATGTTTCCTGAATCTTTCTTAGTCCACTCACTTGTTTTGCTGAAGAACACCCTCAAATATGTTTCAAAGGGATATAAAAGGTAAATTCTCTAGATCATTTTATGACTGAAAATGTCGTCTTGCTCCCCTTGCATTTAATCAATACACTGACTAACGATAGAATTCTGGGATAAAATTAACTTTTCCTCTTGGGTTTGAAGGTGTTTCTCCATTGTCTTCTAGCACTAAAGTTTTTGAGAAAGTCTGATGCCATGCTGATTTTGATTTTTCTGTAAGTGACCTGTTTTTCCTCTCAGTGGACATTTAGAATCTTCTTTTTATCCGTGTGCTTTGACATTTCACAATAATGTGCCACTTGATCTGGGTAGGACAAGGATCAAAATGTGATTGGCAGAAAAGGGAGGGAAGGTTCTAAAGGGCAATCGCTGGAACAAAGGTGCAGAGGTGGGCGTTAACACGGTGTGCTTAGGAGAGCTGAGAAGCAGCTCGCAAACCTAGCTCTTGCACTTACCAGCCTGAGTGGTGGAATGCCGGTTATGGAACCTGTCTAAGTTCTTGTCTTATATCATAAAATAAGGATGCTGACACCTACCTCCCAGGCTTGATGGAATGATAAAACCAGGTAATGTAATAATAAAATTGTGGAAAAAATTATTCTTTTGGTAGCAGGTATGAGAACTCCTTGAAGGGAATGGATCTGTTTCTGTTTTAATCTTATCAGAATATTTTGACAAGCCCTTAGATGGGCAATGTGGCCTTCAGGGGCGAATTATAAAAGGTGGTAGGAACATTTGACACTGAGGAACAGTGAACTAGGAAAGAAAGTACCAATGAGTTGGGTCAAACCTGCCCGGAGAACCAGTCAGGGGAGAGCCTCCTCTCTTCCCTCGACTTTGGTAGGGCTAAGGAAAGTCTGGAGGGAAGACAAATGTCTAATTGCAATAGACACTGTTCACTGTCTGCCATAAGACATAAATCCCCTCTCTATCCCTTTTATGAAATCATACTTCAATTCTACACTCCGCAATAAAAAATGCTTTTACGAGAGTAGACTTTTGTTGAGGGCAACTCAAAGAGATGGATGAAACAGGTAGCATCTGAATAACGTGTATAAAGTGCTTAGCATAATGCTCTGCACACGGTAAAAGCCAAATTTTGTTATTTTTAATTCCTGTTATTCTTGGTATTACAATTATGAGGTGGAGCTATCATACTATGCAACTCTGACAATGCGATAGAAACAAGAAAACTGTGTCTTGTAATCCTTGATCTGATTTCTATGTGTGCATCTTTATTTCATATTGAATAATTGTAAAACTGAAACTGAAATCAAGTTTTTTCTCATTTATGTTTTTAGATGTGTCCAATCTTAATGTGAAATAGAAAGATAGAAGTAGAAAGAGTCAGGGGACAGTAGAAGTGCCTGTCTTCTGCCACGGTTACTTTCCAAAGGAGCGTGGGATACATAGAAATGAAGAGTATCAAAATAGGAGGTCTCCATTCTATTCCTGACATTATTTATCTTGCACTTTTTAAGCAGGTTTTTCTGCTTTCATGCAGCCATTCCAGCTTCTAGGAGCCCCATCACCATTGCTTATGATCGCCCACCATTCTCTCTCAATTCTAATCTCAGATTCTCTTCCAAACTAAACAAAATCAAGTTGCAAAATGCCTTGCTCATAGCTGGTGCTCAATAAATATTTGATGTATTGAGGAACACCTAAAAAGTAACTATGGAAACAGTCAAAGAGAGCCTAATGTTTGGTTCATATCTTCAAATTGCTGAAACTTAATACATTCTAAATTCTTTAGGGATAAAATCTGCTCCTTACTCATTGTGTTTCTAGTCGATAGCAGGTTCTCAAAGAAATAAAAATACAAGAGCATGGAATGTATACAAAACAGGCATCTGAGTCATTATTCCAGGTCTAGTGAGGGCTCCTTACCCAGGTTTCCCACAATCTGAATCTGAAGTTGCACTTAAGTCTCTACAACTTTCTGAAGCCCACACCTGGACTTTGTGTGACTACAACACCAACAATTCACCTGGACTGGAATTATTCTCGTCCTTAATGGAGTAGTTTTTGCTTATGCTCAAATATACAAAGTCATGTAATTATCCAATGAGATAATGTATGTAGAGAGCCAGGATATGTCATAGACATTTCCTGAATGCTAGTTTCCTCCAACTTACCTCCCCTCGGAGGAAAACACAGCCAATTGTTTTTCATTTCCATAAACAACAGATAAAAAAGATGTAGGTTTAATTTTTTACATAAATAGTGTTAGATCCAAGAAAGAGTTGTGTACTCTGAACATAGGAGTAATTAAACAACCAAGAAGAGATATTGTAGATAATTTTTAAAGTAGAACTGGCCGTTATCCTGCTTAGAAATTGAAAACCAGAATTCTGTATTAGTCAGTAGCACGGACTAAGAGTCCCATTGTGTCAAGAGCACTGAATGAGATACTGTGCTATTTTTTTGAAGGAATAACGTGATTTCTTTCAAAAAAGGATCGCCAACATAAAGATAGCCAAGAGCAAACAAAATTCAAATACCTAAAAAAGCCAAGACCAAACAAAATCTCATACACAATAATTTGTGGTATTTTGGCTATGCTTTGTCATAAATTGATGGTAACCTTATATAAGTGTCTAGAACAATATATTTCTTCCAATGTCTTAACAACAATAATTTGTAATAATGACCTTATTTTGCAAAATTTTGTAATACTATTATACCCTCTAACAGATTTGGTCCAGCAACTGTGAATCAGAAATGTATACTTTCTTTCTTTAGCTGCTAATGTCCTGTTTGAATATAAGGTTATCATACAAGTAATATGTGATAACTGCTTCCCCAGGTACTCATTTTAAAGTGAAATTTTTGTGTAAAGAGATTCCTTTTCACTTTCAGCATTAAAACAAATGGTGCCTTTCTGCTTAGCCTCCTATTTCAGCATCTGTAACACTGTTGAATGTACTTGTTAAATTTCTCTTTCCTACTTGACTATAATTTCTTGGGGACGGAGATTGTGCATTATCTATTTATTAAAAGTTCCTGGTATGGTGTCTGAAGCATAGTAGGGGCTCAATAAACTTCGTGACATGAATAAATGATGTTGTGTTAGGTCCTGTACAAAGCTAGGGTTCAGAGGAGCTCAAAGATCACTGGCATAAGGTACAGTGTAATCTAAAACCGAATTAAGGAGAAAATCTGGTGGACATCTTTTTCAGTCTACATAGATAGATGCACTCTGGCATCTTAACTGGCTATCAGTTCCTCAATTTAAAGTAACAAAAATAAAATAAAATAAAAATCATATACCTAGCAAGTTGGGGCTGGTCTAGCCTAGTGGCCTTTTACAGGTGCAATTTATTTTTACAGTAAAGAGAACACTGACTCTTCCAAGAATAACCTGATTCCAACAGAGTTGAATAAAGTTGTTCATTTTTCCAGGTTTTTGACATACTTCTGTCTTTCTAGACCGTGAAGTAAATCTCCATTTCCCAAAAGCCCCAGTGCCAATTTTAATGATCCCGTCCACGTGACATGCATTTTTTTTTTGTTTCATTGCTATTAGTGAATGACAAGTGAAGGATATTCATTTTAACTTGAAAATGTCAGGTATGCACTTTAAGAGATATATTCTTGCAGCTTTTAATGAGGTGGTGTTTCTTTTTGAAAGAAATACTCATCTCTGATGCGAGTGCTGTGCAGGTGACAACTGATATTTAATAAGCGATGGTTCTTGTGTTAGTCGCAGTTCTCCAAAGAAAATGTCTCAGATTGCTTTTGAAAAACTCTTAGCGTCACTAGCCCAAAGGCAAGATGTGACCTTTTTATTACATAATGAGAATCATTTATTATCCTACAATGTATCTTAAAGTCACAGACAAAATGCCACTTTGATAATTGCTTTCAATTAGCTTTGAGCATAGCATATATTCATAAAATGTCTTCTCTAATTTAGACTTGAATTAGAGAAAATTGCAGACATAATCTACTTTAAGGTTGTCTCATTTAAGGTGATTCGTAGTTTTATATCAAAGAAATCAAAACGAGTAGCTTTAGAACAGTCTCTCAAAGTGTTTTAACCAGGCTTTTCAATATTTGATTCTATTCTATTACCAATTAATTAACAAATTAGAACGCCAGTTCATCATTGCTGACCTTTTATGCGCGTTAACTTTTGACTTTCATTCCTAATGATTGTTTTGAAATTAAACCTTGCAGATCGTGTGGAAAGAGAGAAACAATCTGATTAGCAAGATAAATAAGGCTTGCCTTGACACCAAGTACATCTTCACATTGGGCTATAACTGGGACTCTTGAATCCTATGATGGCGCATCTTTTCCTGCCTTAAGTAAATAATATGTAGCTAATGGTCAATAAATTGTACTAGATAATCATGTAGCCTAAACTAGGAGTTTTGGGGTGTTACAAGTGAGCTTAGAAGTAACATGATATTTAAAATATGATTTCAGTTCATTTTTATTTTTTGTTAGTACCCTGAGCATTAGAATATGGTTTAAATGCAAATCTTTATCTCCTTTAAAAAATATTTTTGAAATCATAGAAACTCTGTAACTACCTTTTACACTTGGGGTGTTTCAGTAGCTCATGAAATATTAGTACCCTAACAGAAATTCTCAGAACTTGGTGTTATATCTGTAGATTACTCTCTTTCTCTCTCTTTTTTTTTATCGTAGATAAAAATTACACACAAGAACCAAGCCCCAATGCTGATGGGCCCTCCTCCAAAAACTGGGTTGTTCTGCTCCCTCGTCAAAAGAACAAGAAACCGAAGCAAGGAATAACCCTGTATCATTTCATTCTTAGAGGTCTAATTAGCATAATTGGGCCATGGAACACTGATGCTGGAAATCTTTGAACCATTTCAAGTCTCCTGTTCATGCAAAATCATGGAATTGGTTTAACAGTTTTTGTTACTGAGCTAATGTAAAATTCAGCTATTAGAAAATTTATTGTCTCAGTTTTTATAGGCATCTTTGCATGAAGAAAGCAGAAGTTTACATGAAGTGATACTGCATATTTTTGTTGCATGCATCCCCATAGATTTTTATGTCTCTCACCCACTCCTCTCCCAACTTCCATTTACTAACCTCTATGAAAAACCTGTGAAACATAAAAAAGGAAGTACCACGGGAAATATGATTCTCAGTGTGGTTCCAATTATTAATAAGCAGTAATCAGTAATGCTACAATGATCATAATCACAGATTGCTATACTTTTCCCTTTTAGAATAAAACAGTGTATTGATGATCTTTAACCTATGACTTCAGGAGAAACTTTTAACTGAAAGATTTTATTAAATAGTTGTCTATGATACCTTGCTGTACCTAAATAGGTTTTCTTTGACGTCTTAATGCTGCTGAGTGGAATTTAAAATATCAGGTATAAAGTTTTCTTGTGCTGAAAAATAGAAAGTGGTTTTGATTCTGTTTAGTTTGTTTTTAATTCCAGAAATAAGTGAAAACATGTTACTTGGCAGTCAAGTGTGGTAATATGACAAGCCTTATGCCTTTCTGCATGTGAATCTACAAGAAAATTCATAACCACACCAGTAACCAAATATTGATGTTTTAAACTATGTGCCTAATAAACTGTGTTTCCCACCAAAGATTCAGGAAAAGATGCTTGAGAGAAATGGGTTAATGCACAATTAATTAAACATTGTGGAGAATATTTATAGTCTTATGTTTAATTTTGTGATGACCAAAACTCTGGAAAAAAGTGAATTACCCATTAATTCTAATTAAAATTCTCACTTTCACAGACAATAGGCCATACAACACAGTTAAAGCTCAATAGCTGATTTCTTGCTTTTTTCTGTCGTTTATGAGTATAGATGTCTGTAATTTTTAATGGATCAGTTAAGTACACTTGAGAAAGTAAATGATTGTATCAGTTCCTTTCTAGTATAAATTGCTACCTGTAATAATATTGAACTCATTGAAGCAAATCATGCATGCAATTAGCAACGCCCCAACTCTAGTCCCATCTCTGTGACATTTCAAATGTTTATTTGGAAATAATGACCTGGGTCATTGTTTAAGGTGTTCATGGCATGGTTGGATTCTCTGATTGTTTAAAGAAATTATGGACTAGTATTTGCTTAGTGTTTCATTAAACCTATGGTATAAAATGAAATGCTACTCCCAGCAGTTTTGGTATTGTTCGTTCTTATTGACCTGCATCTCATCATTGCATGTTTTATGTTTTCAAACATGCCATAAGGAAAGCAAGTGCTTGAAATGCATGATTTATTAGTTTCTCTCTCCACTCTGCATTAAAGTACTAATGATTTATCAGTTCTCTTTTTCTATTGATTCATTCATCTTTGAATAACAAATAGCATCTAGTGATTCTGTTGAATGCAATCCTGTGCATGGATTTATGGATTTCAAGTGAAATTGCTGTAATTTTTGTTCTTTGGTTTGAAAACTCAACTGAATGCTGTTATATCAAATAGCTACTCTCAAGCAATGTGCTATAATGGAAGATTATGTATAAAGCATATTCTTTTAGTGTCCCAGGAAAGTTGGATGGTAAATATCAATCAACAGTAAGTTTAATTGCCTTGAAAATAAAAGCTTTTGAATAAAATTAAGACATAATTTAGCATTCCCAGGAAAATTATCATTACAATTGCAAACGCAGCACAGCAATCACTTGCCCTAGTATAAAAGAAAAAAAACTTATTTGGCGGAGCAGTAATCTAGACCAAAGGAAAGCTCAAAACACTAACAAATGCATTACTGACATAATGTTATATAACACACACATTGATTTTGCGTGTCTATGGTTACAGGTAATAAATATTTTCACATAAATTGACAAAATTTTCTACAATGCGCAGACAGGCTCTGTGTCAAAAACATATTCTGAAGCCACAAATTATTTTATGTTCAGTACAACATACAATTATTTCTTGGCTACCTTTTATAGTATATCGTGAAGGCAGGAAGAGTTTGTGAATCATTCTTAGCAATCTGTGCCCTGGAAGCTGTTGAATAGACAGTGGGATGAGGCAAATCAAAGAACCTGCCTATAAGGCTTTAATAATTGAAATCGTGGGATGCTGCTTTACTCAATGTAGCTGTGTAACTATAATTAGTGATAATCTTAGTTACATTTTTCAGTCAGTGCGATTCATTGGTACCATAATAAATGTTCAAATAAAAGTCAAATTTCACTTTCCCCAACTCAGTTTCTAAAGATACTGATGTGCTTGCCCGTCAAGTACGTGACTCCTGGGATTTGGAAAGTAGTTTTTAAAAACCTACTTTGATGGTTTTGAAATCAGAGAAGATATTCTACTCACTTTTATGACAGCTTCAAGTGGAGAATATATATTTTAAGGAAAATTCTAAACTGAAGGTTCTATGGTATATTAAAATATTGAATAATGAATGTTAGCTTTACAAGATGGAAATTTTTCTTATACGTGTGTGGGTGAGTGTTTGAGTTGTTGACTCAATCTCTTTTAAATATAGTAGACACAGCAGTGTAAAGTTTTAAGTGGATGAAGCTCCTATGTAAAAATTAACTGGGTTTGCAGGGGTCAAAGGAAAAGGGGAAAAGAGAAATGCACTTTGCTAAATATTGCCATACCCTGAGTTGATAAACAGAGAGAGATTCCAGAATAAACCTGGATATCCATGCTTCTAATAGGAATGGAAGTGTCTATGAAGAACCAGAAATTTTAAAGGATATAAATGTATTTTTCCACTGACATATGCATACCGTGTGCATTTGCTGCAAAAAGTACTGGTCAATTTATTGTGGAAGAAAGGAGATACCTCGTAGAAAGTGAAGAAAATAAAATGTTAAAACAGTTTTCATTTTAAACCGGTTATGTGATTACAGCCAGAATAAAGCAAAAGGCTCAGATGTTTACAGTAGTTGACCGCAGGAAGAAATTTAAATCCAATGAGAATCAATGAATCGCATATATTTCCAGATTTTCTTCTTTTTTCCCTCTTTCAGGGGGATGGAAAGCAATTGCAAGTTTTTAGGAAAAATCTGTTTTGAACCTCAGACTGTGTTCTACTTGAATGAGACAAAATTCTTACATGGCTCCATTACCTTCTGTGTCAGTTTGTTGTTTATAAAAAAGAAAATGTACTTTTCATGGCACATATAACCCTCAAAGAATTATTCAAATATAATGCTTATATTCCAAATTAAAAGATTCAGCCCTTGTAATATATGTTGAGGATGTAAAATTTAAATAAATAAATAAACAAAAACCTGCAAAAGAGCTTTTATTTTGTGAAAAGAAGGAATCACCCCTTAAATCTCCTATTTAAATTGCATTCTATTTAAATAAAGTTTGAATAAACTCACATTGGAAGGATTCTATACATCTTCATTGTGTTTAAAAACATGGAATTCATTTAATTACAGTATCAATTATTTTCTCAGAAAGTGTTATTACGGTATCCTGCTTTTTGAAATAAAAATGTTAACCACTCAGTTGTGTCATTTCTTACTGCCATTTTGGCCAGGCTTTGTCCATGAATGAACTCTTCAAGCATTTGTCAGTCCACTGTGGATATTGAGATGCTTAAGTGTGCGTGCTCTGGGGCCAGATCTGGGTACAACTCTTGGATCTGCCGCCTACTCCCTATGTGACCTCATGCAAGTTATTCGAGGTCACTGTGCCTCAATTTTCTCAACTCTAAAATCAGAATATGTCTTTAAAAATAAATTAATTAATACATTAAAGAATTCAACCATGCCTGGCACATACATATTAATAAAGGACAAGAATATACATAGTACAGAAGACCTTATTCTGTTCTGCAAAAATGGTTGACAAATCTACTAGAAAAACAGTTGTCAACTTCAGGTTCAAAATAAATTGTCAGTGTATGTCCAGGTTATTTAGATAGTGTTACACTCTCCTAGCCTAATTCTCCCACAAAGTTATCTGGACATTTGAAGATGTGCCAGAATAACCTCCTACAAACTGTAAATCCAATCAAACACCATTAGACCACGCAGAGAAGCCTGCAGTTGGACAACTCCATAGCAATTTGAGGGTCAAAGTACCATAATGTCATCCTGACACCCATCACCAGAATCCTTGGCCACTGTCCAAAGGCATGCCTCTCTTAGAATCTCCATTAACAACTTCTTAATTATATTCTTCTCTGTGATTCTCCATCCACCACACCCCCACACCTCAAACACAAATTGATGGTATCCAGATTTCATTGTCAACACTCAAACTCTGCGCTGAATGCACATCTTTCCTCTTGCATTCGTTTTAACCCATCTCTCTTTGGAGAACCTCAGGACCTGTAACAGATGATTGGTGCTCATGCCTGTCAGATCCTAAAAGCCTCATGTAATAACACTGCTTTCGACAATCCTCCCCCTCCTCCAGCCAGCCAGTCACCAGGACTCCAAGGACTCCCCTTGTTCCCACTATGCCACCCACCCAGGCCTGGCAGGCCCTAAAGGAGAACCACTGGGAGGAGAGCTAACATCTACCAACCCATTACACCTCCACAGCTCTCATATATGGGGACCTACCCTCTTTGCTCTGGACAGACCCAGCAGAGGAGTGGGTAGGCCTCACCCTGCCAGGCAGCACTCCCCCAGAGTCACCCTCTCAAGGGCTATGGTAGAAACTGCAGAATCCATGGACTTCCTGGATCTTTGGCTGTGAGAAAGAAGAAGAGAGGATGGAAAAGTAGGTGTGTGGACAATAATGGGAGGCATTCCACAGCTTGTTGTCTGTGGTATATGGAATTAGGGGTATCCTGTATATCCAACTTTCACTCTCCCTATGAATTACCACTGACTATTTCTCCATCTTTACCTGAATGCCCCACAGACATATTAAAATAAAAGTCTCCAAAATAAAACTCACCTTGCCTCTCAATATCAACCTCTTCCACCTCCTGGAGGACTTGCTCAGTAAATTGCACCAGTACTCATTTGGTCTCTCAAGTCAGAATCCCAGGAAAAGGCTCAACCACTACTTCTTCTAAATTTCCATTCATATCAGTCCCATCCACTCTACCACTTTAATATTTATCAAGTCCATGCCCTACTCATTATCCCTATTGTCTTTGTTCAGATTCTCATTTCCTACCTAGATTACAGTTATAGTTGGGTGGATCCAAGTTTTGTGGGTCCTAAAGCTCATACAATTTAGTGACATCTTACTAAGAAAAAGAATACAAAATTATAAAGCAAAATATTTCTTTAGAAAGAGAATTAATTGCCTGTTGCACTTCCATATGTTTTCCTACATTTTTTTGACTGCATCTTTTTTGGTTCTCTCTTTGCAGACAACAGTTTTGCAGTATTTTTCTACAAAGCAAATAGAAAAATAACTCAGTGTTTTCTTAAAGATGATTGAATAAGTTTTTTAATTGATAGTTTAGAAATTTATTTTGACATCCTAACTCCTGTTGGTAAAGTACCAAGGGTAATTCCTCCAAAGTTCTTTTTCTAGGGGGTGTCTCAGAGAATTCCAGCCCTTTGAGCTCACTAGTCATGGTTTAACTCATTCAGGTCCTCACTGGGCCAGGAGGCCAGGAGGCTAAAGTCAAAATGGCCACAAAGCATGGAGTGGAGCAGCGTCTCTTTGGGTTCCTTGTGCTTGAGGTCAAAATTAGTGCAGATGCTCACCTAGGCTACCCAGAGTGTTGTCTGGTGTCCCATGGATGTGGTGGCCTCCAGAGTGAGGCAGCACTCTGTGACTCTGCCATGTGACTGACCAGGCTGCTGCTTCCTCCTTATAGTCATTACGTTTTGGAATGGGCCCATGCCAGTAAGATAACTGGAAGATTCAGCTTGAGAACTTCAAGGTAAATCTGCCTTTGCGACCTATAAGAGAGTTGTAAACTTTACTCCCAGCTGCCCGTTTTACAGAATATGTTTCAGGGGAAAGTTACTTAAATCTCTCTAAGCTTCAATTTTCTCATCTGTAAAACAGGAATAAATATAGGACCTGTTTCAGGGTTGTTGTGAGGATTACATAGAAATAATTTTCAAAATTATTTTCTTTTAGCAAACATTCAAATCATATTGTTTAGCTGTGGTGGAAATGTAATAATAGTAGTGGTAGTGGTAGCAGCAGTACAATCCTCTTTATCCCCACTTCAATCCTTCCTCCACACTGCCAACTGTATTTTTCTAGAAATAGGTGGTAGCCCTTATCGGATCACCATTTTTAGTATGATAGGAGTCCAAAATCCTCAGGCAAATGAGGGCTTTCATGAGCTGGACGTTGTCAACCTTTCCTACATCTTCTTCCTTTTTATCCCCGTGTGCAAACTTAGCTCCA